TAATCAGTTATCTGTGACTGCGACATGTTTGAGGAGCTTGATTACTGGAACATCAGTTGAGGCGTGAAGCATTTGACGCGGTGTCTTGGTTAAAAAGCACAACACTGGCTGACTGACGTGTCTGATCGTGCGTGACAGAAAGGTGGATTTAATATTGTTGCAGAGTCTTTGCAGCATAGGTTGAAATGTCTGTCACAAAAATATCAAAGTGCTAATTGACAATAAAAGTCGTTGCATACTATTTGGTGAGATTTTTATTTGATTTTTTTTTACTTTGTGGCAGAACAGCTAAATAATTTAATGTAGTTTAGTTGCTTCTATCCAGAACTCACAGACTTGACTTTCCCTTCAGTGCTCGGAGTAAAAGACCTGCTGTGGCCCTTACGTGGTGTTTCTGCTATTCAGCCACTAGATGGCGAACTTTGACATGAGCAGACCATAAAATAAACACATTTGCTGACACGCGGGTTTGAAAGCCACAGAGACCGGTGTTTAGAGAAAATGTTTCTCAGCTGTTTTGATACTCCTGACACATAAAGGATCACTAAAGGTTTTCGCTCGGGGAGCAGTTGTCCTCCTCTCTTAATATTATACAAAACAAATGTATAATATACATTTGGCCGCTGTTTCTGTGGGGATGGTGTTTGCTCTGTGTTGCAGCATCCTGATGACACTCAGTTTGAGCTCCAGTAGATGATTTTAAATGTCCCCCATTACTGATGGAAGTCTCACAGTCTAAGAAGGCTACCCTTCCTCATGATCTTAATGCGGTGGTCCACCGAGTTACTGTGATCAGTGAACTGTGGTACGTCTTGAGATTTGATTTTCACCCAGGTGTCATCACATACCTGAACCAATGACTTGGTGTTTCAGGGCAGGATAACGGAGCCCTTTTTTCCACTTCTTCAATGGTCAAGACAATTTGCCTATAAATGATCAAGAAACTGACCTCACAGCTCATTGTTCATTCAGTGGTGCTTGTTTCAGTTATTATGCAAATGTACTGTTTATAAGGTGGGTAAAACCTGCAGTCAGCTGAGACTGTGACGAAAGGTTTCTCCCACTGAAAACTCTTCATCCAGATGAACAGAATCAACTTTCTGGGATTTCCTTACCTGGATGGTTGAGCATGCATCAAGACTGTCCAGATGGGTCATTCTTTACATGCTGGCGTCCACTGCATGTGTGTCTACTCTGCAGTGATTAAACAGCACTGTGAAGTCTTGATGCATTCTCAATCATCCAGGAGGTCACAATGGGCTGTGACCTCACAGCCCATTGTTCCTTCAGTGGGCTGGTTTCAGTCATTATGCAAATGTACTGTTTATAAGATTGGGGAAACCTGCAGTCAGCTGAGACTGAAGAAGTCACTTGGATGAGTGATGAAACGTTTCTCCCAGAAAACGCCACGTCCAGATGAACAGAATCAACTTTTGGAGAGCACTGTGAAGGTGTGGCAGAGCTTCATACCCACCAGGGGGAAGTATTGTGTTAAGGTGGGGTGAGCCATGAGACAAACGCTGCCATTTAAAAAGGCAAGTGGAGTACAATACAGGCTTTAATGGTCCCTTTACTGACCCCTCGGTTTCTTACAATATGTCAGTATGTGATGGTGAAATTACTTTTCAACTCAAAAGCTTCACTGCCTTTCTAGAGCTTCATTTTGAGAGACGCTCAAGTAATAAGGAGATATGTCTTTAACAATGAGAGAGTCAAAATAAGCCCTCATTCCAGGATGGCACCCTAACAGAGGGCCGTTTGTCTGACTCATTTTCACTCAGAGCAGTGGTCTTAATGAGCGCCTACTTCAGTCTCTCAAAACAACCCTTTGCACTTTGGCCCGTGTCATCTGACAAACAGGGAATTTTTCTTCTTCTTCAGCTTTAAAGAATACACTGATTCTGCAGTGAGTGCCACGAGCAATCATCCGCTGTGCCTGCTGTAGCTTATTCGAGGAACAGTGTGACACATCGTGCTTCGTGGACAGTTGAGAGCAATGTTCTCTCACTTTGATCATTTCCACCCATGATTGCGTTGATATGACAAAACTGAGGGAGGATGCCACCGTTTAGCCCACTTTAGCCACACCCCTGTGTTGGTGAACCCTGTGGCATTAGCTTAGCAGAGCATCTACTGTTGTTTTAAAGAAAACAGAAAATTCTTTGTTTGATACAATGGATTAAACTTAAAAAAAAAGAAAAAGAAAAGAAACCCAAAAACATGCACACATGCGTAGAGGTGGAGAGAGAGTCTGTAACTACATCTGTAAAACATCTATCCATCCATCATCCACATACAGAGATGCGTCACGGGAAACTCAAGGTTCAGTATCTTGTAGAGACTGATCAAAATATTGATGGTATTGATGTTGGTTCAACACTAGCATGATATGATTAATGCTGTCCTCCAAGTTCAGTATGCAGCCCACTGAATTGTGTGAAATTAATTATTATTTTGGAAGTGAAAAAAAAACCCTCAAACATGCACAATATAGCCTATAACACAGTTAAACAAGAGAAGCTGACCCAAAGAGACAGGCACATTTACATTTCAAATCCCCACCCCCCACACACAAAAAACTATTTAAAAATACGCGAAAAGTTTAGTTTGTTTTGCTGTATTAACTAATTATTGCTGAACTTAAAAATAACAGTGATTTACAGGTCTTTAAAATATGACAAACTCCTGTTCCCTACATAAGATGGTTTGTAAATTAAAAGTATCGGTATTGTTTTCAGCAATACTGACAGTGTATTCACTTGGTAACAGATCAATATCTAAATGTGGATTATTGCACAGCGATAATATCTCACCAGAGGACATTTTGAATTACATTTTGGACCAGGCAGGGTTCGAACCCCTGACCTTACAGTTATCGTCAGTACACGCGGATCGTGATATTTCGTGCGATGTACAAGAACACCATTGAGGTTACTCAGTAAAATTGACATTTTCCAGATTCTCGACTTCGGCAGCCATTAGCTAGTCTAAACTAAAAACAACAACAAAACGCAGTATATTATGAAGGGAAGGTAAATTGATGACAGCGAATCCCTTTAAATTCGCACTCACGCGTACGTGACCACATACCCCCAGCTATCGGGAGCGTGCGTTTGGTGCACACCCTTCTCTCCTCCCCTAGGGCGGAAGTAGCTGGCTCCATTTCTCCTCCTCAGTCCGATAAGAGCAGCTCGAGGAGCTGCAAGCCCAGCAGCACGCGCATGAGAGCGCACAGCTTGTTTGTAATTTGACTTTTCTTTTTAAAAAAAAAAATTCATCCGAGAATAAAAGAAAAACCAGCAGCAGCACATTAAAGGTCCAAACTGTCGCTGTGCCGAGTTTCACCTGGTTGTAAGCCACCGTTCCCACCCCCACCCCCATACACCGAGCCGGGGAGAAAACCCTGCGCATTCCTCCACGCAGAGAGCCCGGAGGGAGCGACCAGCAGCGGGGAAAGGTGAGCTGGAAGGGGGCCTCCTCACAAGGTGGGCCGGTGAATTCTCCCACACTGGGGATAGACGCGCTGTCTTGTGGTTTGGCTTTGTTGGAGGCTCGCTGTGGTTGTTGGTGAACCCTCGGTGACCAGAGGCACTCTATGATACCCTTGCTTTGATGAATAATTTAAGCTCTCGCGGTCCAAGGCTCGCGCTGCGACAACCATACGACCGTTGGCCGCCTGAACGGATCCTGACGGTCAGCCACACCGGTCTGAATTTGGAGGCTTAGCGATAACGGAGAAGTAAAGGGAAATTTTTGAGGTAGCTACTCGTCCGGGTGCTGCTTTGTAGCTCTCAGTCCTGTAGTCATGTTGCCGAGCTGGTGGGGGAGGAGAGACCGAGCCCCCCAGCCGACCCAGTATCTTTCCATTTTCGGGTTTATGTTATGAGCTATCCCGAACAGCATCGCACTATTTTTCTCCACGGAAGCCCCAGCGTCGTCTGTTGCTGCATGCTGTATTTAAAAGGAGGACTGTGGGTTCTGCTAAAGAGAGAAAAAAACGCCTTACACAACTGATTTAAGTATTCTGATTTTTCATCTGATCTCACAACTGTTTTTGAATAACTTTTTGAATAAGTGGCTACCTCCTTGTTTTGTTTTTTGTGGCAAATCTTTCTTCCTTTTTCATTTTTTAAATCGTCGAATCTACCTCAAACACCACATTAACGTGGAGAGATAATTATCTTCTACACACCCCAAACGGGCTGATGTGTCTCCAAATGAATACCTCAGCCTCGTCGTCGCGCATGTTGTAAACTGAGCCCAGTTTTGGTGACGCTGCAGATGGCTTCGTTTCCCGACTCGGACCTGCAGACGTGCCCGCTCTGCAAGGAGCTGTGCGGCTCTTCGGCTCCCATTTCCTCCAGCTCTTCTACCTCATCGTCTTCATCTCACACCTCGTCTTCCTCCAGCCAAAGCACCAAGAGGCTCCACGTTCTGCCCTGCCTGCACGCCTTCTGCAGGCAGTGCCTGGAGGGACAGCGCAGTCCCGGGGACCCGCTGAAGCTGCGGTGCCCCACCTGCGACCAGAAGGTGTCCATCTCAGAGGCCGGAGTGGACTCTCTGCCTTCCTCCAATTTCCTCTTCAGCAACCTGCTGGATGTGGTGGTGAGCTCAGAGGAGCAGATCCAGAACAAGAATGGCCACCACCACCACCACCACCACCACTCCCGGGGAGGTCTGGGTGGAGGCTCCTCTGGCTTCAGTCATCCATCACGTGGAAGCCTGTTGCACTCACACCACCTGGGAGAGCCTCAGTGCAGCTCCTGCGACGAGCAGAACCTGGCCACATCCCACTGCCTTGACTGCCAGGAGTACCTGTGTGATAACTGCGTGCGAGCACACCAGCGGGTGCGACTCACCAAAGACCACTTCATCGAGCGCCTGGGAGAGAACTTCCATCTGAGCAGGGTCAACGCTAACAGCAACGCCAGCCAGCCAGGGATGTCCGTGTCCCTCGCCCAGTCCCTGCAGAACAATTTCGCGCTGCTGTCCCTGTTCCAGGATCGCATGAGCTACTGCCAGCACCACGACAGCGAGGTAAGTCCAGCACTGGTGAGGACAAACACTCATTCATAGTACCAGTATGTTCTAGATACTGGCTAGTTTTTAGTCTCAGTATGTAGTATGGAGTCATACTGGGGGGCCATATGGCCTTGGATTCAAAGGGAGCTAACTGGCTCTTCACCTAGTTCCCTGGAGATGAACAGGCACGTGTGTTAAGCTGGATTTTCACACACACACACACACACACACACACTCTGCGTGTATCTGTGTGTGTACACAGAGTCTGGTTAATCTGTACCACACCATCCATTCAGGGCAGACAGAGGCCCCTGTAGTAAGTGCACACATGTTTCTCTGACTGTTAGAAGTTCTTGGCATTGGACATGCAGTGGAGATCTACCTCTACAAGTTGGAATTCTCTCCTTGTGCGCTGCGTGATCTGGGCAGAACTACAAAGGCCCGTCAAACAGGAAAACAGCTTTTTCTTGGTAGAGTCATATGGTCAGGAAGAATAACAAATAGCACCAGCAGGAGGTCTTGGAATGTCATTTTTGACCCACTTCTGGTTTCTGTTGAGTTGCTTCCAAATAGTTCTCACTGCATCTTCTAGAAACAAAGCGCAGTTTTGCCCGAGCAGGTCAGCAAACCGGTTGATCGAGAGTGGTCAGCAGATGCGGAGCAGTGCAGAATATCACCCGGTATATTTACCTGCATTCTAGTAAGTCACTTAATCAAACAGAATAATAGACTGCAAATGTTAAGAGCTAACTATTTCACATAACCAATAACAGACGTGGGTTGCACATCAATCTTTTAAGTTGCAGCAGCATGTGTAGCCTTGTCCCAGCAGTTAAATGCTGTAGACGCCGCAGGATGCCATTCATTGTTAACAGAACCTTGCAATGACTTAAGGCTCGCTGTGCACACTGAGAATACAACGCTGAGAAATAAAGAAAAGGTTTGACTTTATGAAAATGTGCCCTTTCATGACCAGACGGCTATTTGCTTTGTTCTAAACTGAAGCAAATTGTCATCACATCATCAAATTGTCATGATGTCTTTTTATCTTTGTTTTTGTCATCATTTGTTGCTGATTTTTGTTAAATAACAAAAGTAATTGACTTGTTTTATGGTTTGAACTTGCCATGAGACAAGTTTTAACTAATATGGGATTGATGTGATGCCGCTAACATCAGTAAAGGTTATTTGTCAATATCGGTCTATAAGGCCAGCATCGGCCCCTAATTGTGAGTATAAGAACAGAAATATAAGAACAGAAATGCATTGGGGACTGTTGTTTCCATTGTTTCCAAGATGAACCTTTTTATGAGCAAAACACACACAAATCTACCATCATGTCACACACAAAAAATTTGTTCAGTTTGCACCTTGTTGGGCTAGCTATTGGTTTTCAAGTGACAACCCCTGAAGCTGCCAAAAACCCCCAACTGCAGTTCCTTGATTGGCCACTTGAGGCCAGCTCCAAAAAGGAGTCTCTCTTCATAGTCTCATGTTAAAATGCCTTTAGAGCAAATATAAACCTGTTTATAGTCTGGCTTAAAACACATGTTTGGTCTCTATGAGTGGTTTAACCCTTAATAACAAATGTGGGAGGGGGGATATTTAGAATTTGCTAAGGCTTAAAGTTAGGGGTGTGGCTGTTTTCCCAGTTCTCGGCTTGCCTAATCTGAGCCAATGACCTGCACGTATCAGCTGTATTTGTGCTGTTGGTGCCTTTGGAGCATTAGGGTGGTTAGCCCAGTTTTATTTGCCGGAGGTGATGAAGGCTCCTGTGCTGTGTGTTAGTGTGTCACAGGAAATAAATCCATGACAAGCAGGGAGAAATGGTGGCTGTCACAGATGATTGAAAAAACAGCCTGAAAATGCTCACCCTCTACGTGCTGTGCCTGAGGCCCCCCAGATACCTAAGGGGAAAGCCTGTCATTAGTGCTCAAAAACTTCTCAGGGTGTGTTAAGTACTCAGCCTTAAAGCACCCACAAGGCGGAGGCTTGTGAAGGGTAAAAAAGAACAAACAGCCTTAACCCTCTCTGTTTGAAACAGATGTTAGGAAAGTCAAATGTTGCCATTTAATTTTGCCAACAATAATGTAACAACACAGGTAATGTCTCCCAAGTAAATTTTTCAGTTTAATGACTTTGCCTCCCCACCATTAGCGCTGTTTAGCTCAGCTTCCTCTTGCTTTACTTTTAGCTGTTTACTGGCGTGACTGGGGTTCAGTTACCCGGTGTTCGTTAAAATGTGTGAAATTTAAGTAAACGGGGCAGTGTTAAAAACGTAACCCAACTAATCACTAAAGCCCAGTTCAAATTTCCAATTTAAGTTTTTTTTTTTTTTTAAAATAACCCCTACCCCCGCGTACCCCCTGTCCGCTGCCAGTAAGTAGGTGGGTTCAGTTTTCCAGTAAGGGCTTCATTTCCCATTCACTTACTCACAGCTTCAGCCCTGGGGGAGGGAATGACACAGGAGCAGGCGAGTCTTTCTTTGCCTACAAGCACTGAGAAAGCTGAGACATTGTCCAGCATCCAGGACGTGTCCATCATATCTTAAACTTTCATCAACTGCCTAGTCTTTCTGACTGACGGGAGAAACAATTTTAGCTTTTTTATAGTTTGTAATTATTCATCAAAATCAGTTTCTTGTGTTCTACTAAATCCTGTATACTAGTCTGCCTTACAGTTTACACGAAACCCATTTGAAAGACAATTTCTTAGGTTGTCTGAGGTAGGGGATTGGTTACTTTGCTCCATATTATCATTGCTGATCTATTAAGAGTTGGAAACCTTTTAAGAGTGACAACATGATTTCAAGATCTGGCAGCAAAGTATCAATAGGAGATAATTTGATGTAATCGCTGAAGTGATAAATTTCACATCTTTTTCCTGTCATCCAGTTACTGACATTTACGGCTTCACTTGTGCACAGTGAGTCAGTATAGCTTCTTCATAAACCACATATAGTCTCGTACAGTTCTGGGTGTGAGAATGAAAAGGCCTCTTAATACTCTTATACAGCAAAGTTTTAATCAGATGTTTATGTACTGTAATTGTGTGGATCATGGGAGCTAGTTACTGATCACGGGGCTCTTTATTTGAATTATCCTTTTAGTATCCTTTATAAATAGACATGTACTAGAGCAATAAAGGTTTTCTGCTTGTCCGTCTGCACAATATATTCTGACTAGTTGCTCCCTCTCATGTAAATCCAGATATTCATGTTTGTCTGGCGTTCAGCTGGCCATCAGCTGTAGGCTCTGTGTGTATTCAGGTGTAACTCTTAGCAGAAGTCGAGAGGTGTTATGTGCGGCTTTTGCCTGGGCTAGTTCTTCGAGGCTGGCTTGGTCTGCGAGGGCCCTCAAGAGTTTTTCTAGGAGCTGTTCCATCTGAAGAGTTAAGCAAGCCCACTGAGGTACTGTTTTGAGCTGTTCTGAGATTCAAGATGGCCATTAAGAGTCAAAACTTGACTCCAGAAGGACCTTTGATAATATGTGCTGAACTTCCAAACTCCCCCAGAAAACATTCTGAAGCACACTGGTTCAGGCAGCAGTTTGGTTTGGAGAAACACTAAAAGAAATGATGCAGTGCAGTCTGCAGACGTGTAGAGGTTTGGTGTTAACTGTCAGCAGCTGATGCTTCTTATTTCGACTGTTTGTACTGGCAGCTGCTGACGTGCAGTGGGAATCCTGTCTGTTGATACTCTGTGCATGATCAGGTTTTTCAGCCTCTTTAAGCGTTGTAAGGAAAGATGTGATGGTGTTGGAGAGACGTGCTGAAACCCTCACTCACTCATTAGCTGTAATGGAGAAAGCCACCCCTCTCCTCCTTTAAAGAATCCGTATAATGAATGGCAATTTGCTCTGGCTCGAGTTCTCTTGCCGTTTGTATATTTACCCTACTGACCACTGGTTTAATCTACAGATGACTCGTTTAAGGTATTTTGGCTACAGCTTTGATTTGATTGATTTCCAACTGGTGGAATTGCCAGTGAAGAGTTGTGGATGGGAGACAAAGCTCTGTAGGCCGTAAAGGAAACTGGCCACGTAGTATAAGATGTGATAGACCGGTCCATGCATACTCGCTAAGAATTGTTCACAAAAATCAAAACAGCCTTTTTTGAAATCTGGCAACAAGGGAAATGGCTACAAAAACAACACCACAGTGACGAAAAGCCGCAGACTGAGCAGCAGATATATCATCGCCTTGACGTCCACCTTTGTTTTCGCGATACATATTAATTGCATCACAGGACACTCGGCTGCATTACTATGATGACGACCACGTACACTCAATTGTTATGGAAAAACAGTCGATCCGAGTAGGTTGTAATTTAAAAGGCGCTTTGTGGCGTTCCAAAAGCATGTGTCCAATAAGGAAGTTGAAGAGCACCTTCTGGTGGATAAACTGTGCAACGTCAACTGTCACAACATTGCTGAAGGGTGTTTCCATCGACTCTTCTTGACTTCTACCGGCTGTTATAAATGACGTTACTGATCAATTGTCAAATGGCTAATGTTAGCTGGTCTGTACTGCAGATATTCCACATTTCAAGAAAACATGTGGTAATATTAACATTTTATTTAAATTTATTTATCATTTAAAATGTAAAAAAAAAGGGAATATCATTTTATTCATGTTTGCAGGCAGCAGCACTTGTGAGTGTGAGCAAATCAAGAGCACTTTCCATCCTCCTTTTCTAGGTAGCTGCAGGTGCTGATGACACACCGTCTAATTTGAGGTGTGAATCTTCTCAAACAGTGCCAACAGCAGTATCACGTTGCAATAGTAGTGACTCAGCATTATATCCAGTGACACAGCACTGTCAACTACAGTGTTCTGGCTGAAAACCTCAAATAAAAGTACAACATGGCTGTTTCACAACTAAAAGAACGCAATCTTGTTACCAGTCAGGAATGCACAGTGTTGTCAGGTAATACAAATATTTTCTGCCTGGGATGTCATATCTTGGGTGAAGCTTTTTAACCAGCTCTGCTCTTTCACTGTTACTGCATCAGTAA